GACAGACAGACAGACGGAGGGTAAACCTAAAGTCCCCTCCGGTAAACCGGTAGGGGACTAATTAGCATAATGAGTAAATGTAAATGCAACTGTCACAAGGATGCTAAAGACCAAATTGAAAGTAAATCTGCTAGGTGGTTTCAGAGAAGATGAATGTTGACGCATGACGACAGAGCATCCCCCTTTGATACTAATAGCTCACCCTGAACCTTCGGTTTTGGTGAGCTAAAAAAAGTCAACATAAAAATTGAATATGTTTTCTTTAATAAATACACAACATTATGTATACAGCTCTACCATTACTTTTAGTAGTCTGAATCTAGTTTACCTTTCAGACTAAAACCTATTTATGATGAGTATGTTCCTAGCGTACCTTAATGGTTCTGTACACATTTTTATAGCCAAAGCATTACACAGCAACAATATAGATTGATAAGGAACAATATTTTCTCAATGTATATTCACAAAATTTGATGCAAAACAATATGTTTCATACAATATCTAACACTTTATTCTTCAATAATTCTTCTTTAATTCAGGTTACTTAAAGTTTATTTGAAAATCCTCATATATCTATATTATGTCTAAAACTGTGAAGAGGAAATTTATGTCAAATAAACCACATTAAAAGTTCAAAAGCAATGCATTTAAAATAATAAGTGGCTTTGTTTCATAATAATCCTGTACGACATATCTTTAGTAACAAGTTATTTCCCTAATTCTCTAGCTTTCACCATCTCCTGACTTCCGTACATGTCTTCCCTTTCTTTAAACTGACCTTGTGTTGGTACATAATACCATCCTGTTAATGAAATAATGAACATTAAATGTATATTAAATATCAATTAATACACTTTGGTTTCTATACAACAAAGTTGAAAACAGTTTTAACTTATTACGAGTTGGTCACATGACCGATATAGAGTTTGTGGCCCGGGGCCTAAAAACTCATAATCATAATCGGCCCCCTGAACAACAGAATGTGCAAAAAAACTGACAAAATGACGTCACATATATTAATTATTAAGTCTAACATCATATTTACATCATTCTCGTACAAAACTGGTAGGACTGATGAGCATGGCATAATAAAGGAATGTATACATGCCATTTGCCATCAAACAAGAGCTGTCGGTCGTTATGACAGCAACGCTTGACTATTCTTAGTGCTTGATAGTAGAAAAAGCCTTGAATAAGGTTAAATTTTCTCAGTAAAGAAAAAGGCAAAATTTTTCTTTAAATCCATATTTACAGTTATAGGCATTGGAGAGAGTCCTATTATGCTCTCAATGAAGAGTATTAAATTTCAACATGTTTCAAAGCCATATTGTCAATGGACTTTGAAAATATTTGAGGTTATTACAAAACTTTAACGTAAAGTTTAACTCGAAAAAGGGGCCCATAATTCTGTTCAAAATACTTGATAGAGTTACCTCCTCCTGTATATAGGTTGGGATCATAATGGTGAAACAAAATGTGAAAAGTTTCAAAGCAATATGTAAATGGACTTTGAAAATATTTGAGGTATTTACAAAAACTTTTACGTAAATTCCTAAGTCGAAAAAAGGGGCGCATTATTCTGTCAAAGATGCTTGATAGAGTTACCTCCTCGTGTTTCCAAAGGTTGGGATCATGATGGTGAAACCAAGTGTGCAAAAATTCAAAGCCATATGTCAATGGACTATGAAAATATTTGAGGTATTACAAAAAACTTGAACATAAGTTTGGGTTACGCTGACGCCCATGCTCGTTACGTGACATTGACACAATACAGGTCATATCGCGACGTTCCAGCTTTACTGGTGGAGGAAGACCTCAAATGCCCTTCCGTGCATTATTTCAGACACGAATGGGCACCTGAGTAGAACCATCGACGTTTCGTAAGCTAGCTGGATAGCTTCCCCACATAACACACATTTTTTTTTTCTAAGAAGTTAAGGTAAAACTAAAGTGCATACTCTTTGTTTAATAAGGAGCCATAACAGTAGGCCTTATACTTTATTGTTACAGAATGAATTCTATTGTTCTTTTCACAGTGAAATGGCTCCCTATCCCTATTCTGTCATGCAGAATGGCAGACGGTGGAAAAATTAGAAGGGAACTATCAACAGACAGTGTTAAATCGTGTAAATAAAATTAAAATCAGACAATGAAGATAGACAATTACCTTTATTTTCAGGTTTCTCTTTTGAAGGACATCTTACCTCCATTTGCAGGATATACTGAATTATACAAAATATATGTATATAAACACATTTTCAATACAATTAAATCTATTTAGAATATTCAGACAATATGAAAAACAACCTGTCAAAAAGAAGAATATAAAGTTGATGGTTTGACTGTCCTTCATTGAATGACTTTATGCAAACCGAGCATGAAATTTTCATGTAATTTTTTATTAAATGCTTCCGAAGGGATTCATTGCTTTCCCCTGACTTTACATAATTATATCGTGTGATCTTTAGCTTTAGGAAATTTAGTTCCTCTTTTTCCATCCATTGCTCAGCGTCAACTGCTCACACAAAAAAAGTACATTTGTATAGGCCCCCTACAATACAACAACGAGAGAGCCATGATGGCCCTTATTTAACTCAACCTGAATATGAGAATTCTCAATACAAGGAACAAAGTTATTATTGTTAAAGATCCTGCATGTTTTGTGATTGATATTGTTACTGTATGTGTTACCACACTTTAAAAAGAAAATTATATATGCAAATAAAACAATTTTCAAACATCGAAGAAAGTGTTAAATATGTACAGAAAATATTTGTGCACATTATATGTAATCAATCAATTATATGCATTCATTTCTTATTGGAAAATTTGACTTAGAATTTACAGAAAATAAATTTCTAATTTCCTCCTTTATTTTCATAAAATGTTAAATTGGTAATATCTTTATTAATAATGCTTATTGGAACTTACAATATTGACAAATCTTATTTTGAGCATCATATATATTAATGAAACCATGAAAAAATCGTGTTACAGGATCTTTAACTATAAATCAAAGCACAATATAATCTAAATCTTAAACTTATATCACAAAGTTCATATTGACAATATTGACTCAAGACACATAATTCACTCATCAAAGCCAATATTGACTCTAGACACATGATCACTTATCAAAGCCAATATTTACCCTAGACAAATGATTCACTTATCAAAGCCAATATTGACTCGAGACACGTGATTCACACATCAAAGCCAATATTGACTTTTCACATGATTCACTTATCAAAGCCAATATTGACTCTAGACACATGATTCACTTATCAAAGCCAATATTGACTCTAGACACAAGATTCACTTATCAAAGTCAATATTGACTCTAGACACATGATTCACTTATCAAAGCCAATATTGACTCTAGACACATGATTCACTCATCAAAGCCATTATTAATTCTAGACACATGATTCACTTACCAAAGCCATTATTGACTCTAAACACATGATTTACTTATCAAAGCCAATATTGACTCGAGACACATGATTCACTCATCAAAGCCATTATTGACTCTAGACACATGATTCACTTATCAAAGCCAATATTGACTCTAGACAAGTGATTCACTTATCAAAGCCAATAAAGAGTCTATATGCACGATTCACACATCAAAGCCAATATTGACTCGAGACACATGATTCACTTATCAAAGCCAATATTAACTCTAGACACATGATTCACTTATCAAAGCCAATATTAACTCTAAACACATGATTCACTTATCAAAGCCAATATTGACTCTAGACACATGATTCACTTATCAAAGCCAATATTGACTCTAGACACATGATTCACTTATCAAAGCCAATATTGACTCGAGACACATGATTCACTTATCAAAGCCAATATTGATTCGAGACACATGATTATCCATCAAAGCCAATATTCACTATTCACATGATTCACTTATCAAAGCCATTATTGACTCTAGACACATAATTCACTTATCAAAGCCATTATTGACTCTAGACAAATGATTCACTTATCAAAGCCAATATTGACTCTAGACACATGATTCACTTTTCAAAGCCAACATTGACTCTAGACATACGATTCACTCATCAAAGCCAATATTGACTCTAGACACATGATTCATTTATCAAAGCCAATTTTGACTCGAGCACATGATACACTTATCAAAGCCATTATTGACTCTAGACACATGATTCACTTATCAAAGCCAATATTGACTCTAGAGACACATGATTCACTTATCAAAGCCAATATTGACTCGAGACACATGATTCACTCATCAAAGCCAATATTGACTCTAGACACATGATTCATTCATCAAAGCCAATATTGACTCTAGACACATGATTCACTTATGAAAGCCAACATTGACTCTAGACACATGATTCATTCATCAAAGCCAATATTGACTCTAGACACATGATTCACTCATCAAAGCCAATATTGACTCGAGACACATGATTCACTTATCAAAGCCAATATTGACTCTAGACACATGATTCACTTATCAAAGCCAATATTGACTCTAGACACATGATTCACTTATCAAAGCCAATATTGACTCGAGACACATGATTCACTCATCAAAGCCAATATTGACTCTAGACACATGATTCACTTATCAAAGCCAATATAGAGTCTTTATGCACGATTCACTAATCAAAGCCAATATTGACTCTAGACACATGATTCACTCATCAAAGCCAATATTGACTCTAGACACATGATTCACTTATCAAAGCCAATATTGACTAGAGACACATGATCCACTTATCAAAGCCAATATTGACTCTAGACACATGATTCACTCATCAAAGCCAATATTGACTCGAGACACATGATTCACTTATCAAAGCCAATATTGACTCTAGACACATGATTCACTTATCAAAGCCAATATTGACTCTAGACACATGATTCACTCATCAAAGCCAATATTGACTCTAGACACATGATTCACTCATCAAAGCCAATATTGACTCTAGACACATGATTAACTCATCAAAGCCAATATTGACTGTAAACACATGATTAACTTATCAAAGCCATTATTGACTCGAGACACATGTTTCAGATTTATGATTTGATTTTCTATCACACCTAGACAGTAAAGGTCATAATGGCAAGCTCAGGTGACTTCCATGCATTATTTCAGGCACACACAGTCACCTGAGTAGAACCACCGATGTTTTAATAGCTAGCTAGAAATCTTCCTCACATTAAAATGACATCACATAAAACTCTTATTACACTAGGTGCTTTGGTTTAATGTGATGAATATATGTACACAACTTACGTAGATTTCCTTTTTTCATCTGCTTTATGAAGATAGTATAAAGTTCTTTCATGTTTCTTTTCAATAGGTTCAACTCCATATTTAGCCAGTAACCTTGTCAGTGGCAACTGGAAAAATAAATATATATCTTTACCTTTAACCTGTTCAACTGAAATAAACTTACCCTGCTTTGAACTTTTCATTTATACTTGAAGGGATTTCAATATAAAAATACTACAACAGTCCATAGGAGGAATATGCCACTTACTTCATTTACCTGTAACAGTGGCATATTTACATTAATTTTAATATGAATATTTTATTTTAGTTTATAAAAAAAAACATACTATATATTATTCTAGATCTGCACATGCCAGTAACAAAAATTCATTAAAGAAATATAATGTAATAACTCCTGTGTATGTGTCAAAAGAAATCCATTTGTATACTTGTGATTACTATTTCAAACAGAGGATATGGTCTGTTTCAGGGTACATTTCGTGTCCAGTCATCAATCAATGTATGTGGTTAATTCATTAATGACCTTTATTTGCATTGGCCTAACTTGGCATTATACCCTGTAACAGCCTATTTTAGGCCTTGACCTCCAAGTGTGACCTTGACCTTTGAGGTAAGGGTTTAGGTGTTGCGCATCACATGTCATCTTATAATTGTTATCAATTGTGCAAAATTATTCTAAAATCCCTTGATTGATGAACCGCTCACAAAATATACCCAAGAACAGACAATGTTAAGCTTTTGCACTCAAGTGTGACCTTGACATTGAAGGTAGAAGTCTGGATGTTGCTAATGACACATGGTCCCATTATTGTGAACATATTTGCTAAGTTATTTCAAATTCATTGAATAATAAAATAATTATAGACTGCACACAAAATATACCATTTAAAAGACCATGTTAAGGTTTACAACTGTAACCTTTACCTTGGAGGTAGACTACTGGTTTCGCTCATGACACCTTGTCTTATTATTGTGAACATATGTGCAACATAATTTCAAAATCCCTTGATCTTTGAAGAAGTTATGGACCTGGCCCAAATATACCCTGTAACAGACTTTGTTAATATATAACCTCTTACTGTGACCTTGACATTGGAGGTAGGTGGCTGGTTTTTGCTCAAGACACATTGTCTCAATATTGTAATTATTAGTGACAAAAATGATCAAAATCCCTTCATGGAAAAGAATGTTATGGACCAGACACCACATATACCCTCAAATAGACAATGTTGATCTTGAATGAGCAAGTGCGACCTTGACTCTGGAGATATGGATCCGGTTGTTGCACACGACACGTTGTATTATTATAACAAGTTATTTGGATGGTACTGGTCACTACTGTTAAGTTTGGTTGAAATCCCACCAGTAGTTTGACCTGTGAAGGGCGGACAAGAATTTTCTATTTTTAGCTCTGGCGGCCATTTTGTGCAACAAAGAATAACGGGCCAGTGATGTGCACAACTATGGATGGTACTGATCACTCCTGTAAAGTTTGGTTGAAATCCCACCAGTAGATTGACCTGTGAAGGTTGGACAAGATTTTTCTATTTTTTAGCTCTGGCGGCCATTTTGTGCAGCGAAGCAGAACGTGCTCTTGGGTAACTGTCTAGCGGAAACTCATCAGAGCCTCATTACCGCCGTAAACAGTCACCCTCGAGCTAGATATTCTGGTCTGTACGGTTGCCGTTGTAAGATTCTTATACACTGTAATATAATTATTGACACTAAAACAGTCTGTCTAATCTCAAATAAATAGATCAGTTTAATTGTAAGTAATTCACTTTTTTCCTGACACTGTCTATTTCAGTAAAATAAGGAACAAGTAATGAGCCTCAGGCCTTTCTATTGTAAGCAAAACACCATTTTCTGAGTCAGGTTTTTAAAAAAATACAGGTTGGAGTTTTTAAACATGAAACATTAATTTTATTAAGACTTAAAATGACATCAGTTCCACAAAAAGCGTTAAGCTTTTTTGCGATCTTAAACAGTTTTCAAAATGGTAAAAAATTGGTATATAGATAAACCATCTTTTGCTTTTTGGTTCATGATTTAGATTTTATATGGAATACAAAATACCAATTTCTTTGTCCTTTACTACTAAAAACCTAGAAACCATTTTAAAAACAATTGGCCAATGGGACTTATTGATGAGCAACATTTTTCCTCATAATTAACTCACTCTGTGGTTCTAATTAACTAACTCTGTGGTACTAATCAACTTACTCTGTGGTAATAATTTACTTACTCTGTGGTATTAATTAACTAACTCTGTGGTAGTAATTAACTAACTCTGTGGTAATAATTAACTAACTGTTTGGTACTAATTTACCTACTCTGTGGTACTTATTAACTTACTATGTGGTACTAATCAACTTACTCTGTGGTACTAATCAACTTACTCTGTGGTACTAATCAATATACTCTGTGGTACTAATTAACTAACTCTGTGGGACTAATTAACTAACTCTGTGGTACTAATTAACTTACTCTGTGGACTGTGGTACTAATCAACTTACTCTGTGGTACTAATTAACATACTCTGAGGTTCTAATTATCTCACTCAGTGGTACTAATCATCTTACTCAGTGGTACTAATTAACTAACTCTGTGGTACTAATTTACTTACTCTGTGGTACTAATTAACTTACTCTGTGGTACTAATCAACTTACTCTGTGGTATAATCAACTTACTCTGTGGTACTAATCAACTTACTCTGTGGTACTAATTTACTTACTCTGTGGTACTAACTAGAGGATGCTTTTGTAAAAAAGCGCATGTCTCCCCCACTGCTGAGAATAACTGTGAATGGAAACAGGAATGGAAATGGAGATAAGATAATGTAAATACCCGGTAGTCACTTCAATGAAGGCTGTCTATGGATGGTTTCTATTGTTAAGGTTGTACGAGAAGATGCTTCCTAAACTGTTTGTTTTTAACCAGGTATTCAATTTTGAAAATCCTGGTTATTCAATCAGCGTATGGCAGGCGGGCGTCAAACGAAATTGCACTTGATGGTCATATCATAATATAGTTTCACAAATGAAATTAAATGAAATTGTGTCTGCTCCATAATTCTTCAAACCTTTAAAGGATTTTGATGATACTTGAAACAAACGTTCATATTGTCAGATTTTTTTACACTATTGAAAGACAACTCAAATTACAATGTATGTAAAATCATGATAACTGTAGTGTGTTGGGATGACTCCACTCGTTTTCACAATGAAGCCTCTCTGGTAGATACTTGAAACAAAAATTCACCGCATCCAGAGAACGTGTAGAGTACATGTTTCGTATGGCTGGTTCCAAGGTCAAGGTCTACTTGACACTTGAATGTCATATCATATATAGTTTCACAAACGAAATTAAAGGAAATTGTGTCTGCTCCATAACTCTTCAACCCTTTGAAGGATTTTGATGATACTTGAAACAAACGTTCATATTGTCAGATTTTTTACACTATTGAAAGACAACTCAAATTTCAATGTATGTCAAATCATGATAACTGTAGTGTGTTGGGATGACTCCACTCGTTTGACCTACTGACCCCAAAAACAATAGGGATCATCAGCTCTATAAGACCAATCATCCTATGAAGTTTGAGGGCTGTAGGTCAAAAGGAACTCTAGTTATCATCCGGAAACGAGAAATTGACCAACGGTCACTGTGACCTTGACCTTTGAACTACTGACCCCAAAAACAATAGGGATCATCTGCTCAATAAGACCATTCATCCTATGAAGTTTGAGAGCTGTAGGTCAAAAGGAACTCTAGTTATCGTCCGGAAACGAAGAATGGAGGGACGGACTGACGAACGGACGGACTGACGGACGGACAGGGCAAAAACAATATGTCTCCCCCCAGTTTGAGGGTTGTAGGTCAAAAGGAACTCTAGTTATCATCCGGAAATGAGAAATTGACCACGGTCACTGTGACCTTGACCTGACCTACTGACCCCAAAAACAATAGGGATCATCTGCTCTATAAGACCAATCATCCTATGAAGTTTGAGGGCTGTAGGTCAAAAGGAACTCTAGTTATCATCCGGAAACGAGAAATTGACCAACGGTCACTGTGACCTTGACCTTTGAACTACTGACCCCAAAAACAATAGGGATCATCTGCTCAATAAGACCAATCATCCTATGAAGTTTGAGGTCTGTAGGTCTAAAGGAACTCTAGTTATCATCCGGAAACGAGAAATTGACCAACGGTCAGTGTGACCTTGACCTTTGACCTACTGACCCCAAAAACAATAGGGATCATCAGCTCTATAAGACCAATCATCCTATGAAGTTTGAGGGCTGTAGGTCAAAAGGAACTCTAGTTATCATCCGGAAACGAGAAATTGACCAACGGTCACTGTGACCTTGACCTTTGAACTACTGACCCCAAAAACAATAGGGATCATCTGCTCAATAAGACCATTCATCCTATGAAGTTTGAGAGCTGTAGGTCAAAAGGAACTCTAGTTATCGTCCGGAAACGAGAAATTGACCAACGGTCACTGTGACCTTGACCTTTGAACTACTGACCCCAAAAACAATAGGGATCATCTGCTCAATAAGACCATTCATCCTATGAAGTTTGAGAGCTGTAGGTCAAAAGGAACTCTAGTTATCGTCCGGAAACGAAGAATGGACGGACGGACTGACGCACGGACGGACTGACGAACGGACAGGGCAAAAACAATATGTCTATATTGACTTACTCTGTGGTACTAATCAACTTACTCTGTGGTACTAATCAACTTACTCTGTGGTACTAATCAACTTACTCTGTGGTACTAATTTATTCATGGATGCTTCTTGAAATAATTTGGCACATTGAGAATATGAGAAATTATTTGTTAGTATTTCTATATTCTTGTAACACTCTTTATATAGCAATCATGTCTTTGTTGAAAGTCAAAGGATATGGTTCTTCTACTAGGCCCTACTTGTGTGGTATTTTATTTTTCAAGCAAACAGAAGGAGTAGCTGTAGGCGGTTTTGGAAGAAAAATAGAAACAAGAAATGTGTCGTCACGCCACGGATGCCCACACATGCAGCCAAAATTTCAGATGTTATATTTATTTCCAAATTTGTTTGCACAAATTAACTTTTCATTTAAAGTTCAAAGTCCTTAAAACTAGTCAATGTTAACACAAACCATTTTTATACAAAGTTCAAGGCACTGAAACTATTCAGTGTTAACCTTTTGTAAATTGCATATAATTGCATAAGCCAAAATAATGGCTACATTCATTTCCACAAAAGTATGAGTGCTGAAACCAAAAATTCAGAATTTTTCTAACATTCAAGAAAGATAACTTTGTTCAAAATCATTGAACCACGACCAAATTCAAACTTGAACTGCTTAAGATGTATCTATATGTCAAATTTGGGTTGAATGTGTACAACCGTTGGGAAAATAATGAGCGGAAACTTAAAATTTCTTCCTTTTTTCAAAGTTCAAGGAATAACTCTGTCAGCTATCACCAAAACATGACCACATTTGAAATTGACCAATGCATTCTTATAACATATCAATATCTTTGATTTCAGTTGAATATGTACAACTGTTAGGGAGATAAGGAATTGGAACTGAAAATTTCCTTTTTTTTTAAAGTTCAAGGGGCATAACTCTGCCAAAAACATCAAACCATGACAATATTCAAAACTGACCTGAGCATTTTTTTGATGTATCCATATGTCAAATTTGGGTTGAATGTGTACAATCATTGGGGAGATAATGAACAGAAACTTAAAATTTCTTCTTTTTTTTTCAAAGTTCAAAAGGATTAATACCCTAGAGGAGATAATGAACAGGAACTGAAAATTTCATATCATTTTCACAGTGTAAGGGAAATATCGCTGCCAAAAATTATCGAACCATTACCAAATTAAAACTTGACCTTTGCATTCCTTTAACAGATCCATTTGTCAAATAAGAGTTGAATGTGTAATACCATTTGGGAGATAATGAACGGAAACTGAAAATTTCTTATTATTTTCAAAGTAAAAGGGGCATAACTATGCCAAAAATCATCGAACCATGACCACATTAGAGCTTGACCTGTGCATTCTTTTGATGTATCCATATGTTAAGTTTGAGTTGAATGTGTAATACTGTTTGGGACATAATGAACAGAAACTGAAAATTTCATATTATTTTCAAAGTAAAAGGGGCATAACTGTGTCAAAAATCATTTAACCATGGCCAAATCCGAACTTGACCTGTATCTTTTCATGACATATTCATATATCAAGTTTAAGTTGAATGTGTAATACCCTTGGGGAGATAATGAATGAAAACCTAAAATTTCACATTATTTTCAAAGTAAAAGGGGCATAACTCTGGCATAATAAAACGTTAGAAGGTAATAAAAAAGTAGAAATGGTTTAAGGCCTGTCAATGAATTTTCTTGTTGATTTCAGTGATTTGTTCCAGATAAAATGCCAATGGACAGACGGACAAATGAAAAGACAAAAACAAAGGACACCTAGTTTCTGCCAGTTAAACCGGTTGGGAACTGAAAACTTATAATTCTGGCATCACACCTATCCTGCCACCCCCACTATCATAATTGTATGTTTATTTATAAACTTACCTGTTTTTCCTCATGATTAATGGTATCTTCCTGACAAGCAATACACCCTGAACTGGATTTTCAACTGTCCTTAATAATTAGTCTGTCAAACTCGGATTTTCAACTGTCCTAAATAATTAGTCTGTCAAACTCTGTCTATATGAAAAAAAAAGAAAAACATTGAATTGATAATATTTGCCACCTAAATTCTCATAAATTTTAAACTTTAAAAATGTTTCAGTTAACCCTTTACTTACTGAAAAGGTGTAATGGATATTCCCAACTTTGAATTTGGAAAAGTCCACTTTATTTTAAAGGGATAAAAAATACCAATATTGAGCTACCAACAGTATAGTGATTAAAATATAGAGAAAGAGCATATTCAAGTTTTTTTTATTTTCATCAAACAGTATGAATCATTTCACGAGTGGTGGTCACAGCCACAAGTAAAATGTGGCAATTTTCATACCACAAGAAAAAAAACTAGACCTATCACTGAAGGTGATTAATACCCCCACCAGCAACTTTGACTTTTGAAAAATAAGTTGTCTGAAGAAAAATTTGAAATAAACCTACAGTAAATAAAATTTCAATTTATTGCAATCCCAACTATCTTGATTTTGATATAAGCTTGCTATACACCAAGTTTGAAAACAATATCTCATTCCTAACCCTAGTAATTGTCTGGAAACCCTTTTTCTATTTTTAGTAACTGTGACCTTGAACCCAGGGAGTCCAAATGCAATACCAAGCGCGGTCTTCATGTAAGCTTGCTAAACACCAAGTTTGATTACAATATCTCATTCCTAACTTTAGTTATTGTCCGGAAACCATTTTTCTATTTTTAGTAACGGTGACCTTTACCTTGGCCCAAGGGGGGTCCAGATGCAATACCAACCGGGGTCTTCATATAAGCTTGCTATATACCAAGTTTGATTACAATATCTCATTCCTAATTTTAGTTATTGTCCGAAAACCATTTTTTATTTTCAGTAACTGTGACCTTGACCTTGGCCCCAGGGGGTCCAGATGCAATACCAACCGGGGTCTTCATATAAGCTTGCTATATACCAAGTTTGATTACAATATCTCATTCCTAACTTTAGTTATTGTCCGGAAACCATTTTTTCTATTTTAGTAACGGTGACCTTGACCTTGGCCCCAGGGGGTCCAGATGCAATACCAACCGGGGTCTTCATATGAGCTTGATGTACACCAAGTTTGATTACAATATTTCATTCCTAACTTTAGTTATTGTCCGGAAACCATTTTTCTATTTTAAGTAACGGTGACCTTGACCTTGGCCCCAGGGGGTCCAAATGCAATACCAGCCTGGGTCTTCATATAAGCTTTCTATATACCAAGTTTGATTACAATATCTCATTCCTAACTTTAGTTATTGTCCGGAAAACCATTTTTCTATTTTTTTTAACGGTGACCTTGACCTTGGCCCCAGGGGGTCCAGATGCAATTACCAACCGGGGTCTTCATATGAGCTTGATGTACACCAAGTTTGATTACAATATTTCATTCCTAACCTTAGTTATTGTCCGGAAACCATTTTTCTATTTTTAGTAACGGTGACCTTGACCTTGCCCCAGGGGGTCCAGATGCAATACCAACCGGGGTCTTCATATCAGCTTGCTATATACCAAGTTTGATTACAATATCTCATTCCTAACTTTAGTTATTGTCCGGAAACCATTTTTCTATTTTTAGTAACGGTGACCTTGACCTTGGCCCCAGGGGGTCCAAATGCAATACCAACCGGGGTTTCCACATAAGGTTGCTATATACCAAGTTTGATTACAATACCTCACTCCAAACTCTAGTGATCGTCTGGAAACCATGATGTGGACAGACCGACGGACCGACCGACAAGCTGACTCCTATATACCCCCCCTAAACTTCGTTTGTGGGGGTATAATAAAATATTCTGTATTTATATAAAAACTTGATTTTTTTTTCATTACTTTGTTTTCATCTTACAATTCAAAAGAATTCCACTTTCATTTTGTGTACTGGCTGAATGTAGACAAAAGTAGCCTGGCAAAATACTGGTGAAAATACGAAAATTTTTACCACTGCATATCATTTCCTAAATATCTCTCAATATTTCATTTAAAAGTAAATTCTCAGATACTAGAAATGTGTCATCATGCCACGGATGCCCCCGCATGCAGCCAAAATTTCAGATGGTGTAATAATCATTTTTTTTCATTTTAAGTTCAAAGCCCTTAAAACTTTTCAATGTTAACACAAACCATTTTCATACAATGTTCAAAGCACTGAAATTATTCAGTCTTAACCTTTTAAAAATAGCATATTGCATATTTGTAGGCAAAATAATTGCTAAAAGTATGAGTGCTGAAACTGAAAGTTCAAAATTTTTCCAACATTCAGGAAAGATAAGTTTGTCTAAAATCATTGAACCACGACCAAATTCAAACTTAAACTGCTTATTCATAAGATGTATCTATATTATATCCAAAGTGAAAGGGACATAACTCTGCCAAAAAATCATCAAACCATGACCAAATTCCAACTTGACCTGCCATGATTCCTTTGACATATCCATATGTCAAATTTAAGTTGAATATGTAACACTGTTGGGTAGATAATGAACAGAAACTGTAAATTTCATATTATTTTCAAAGTGAAAGGGGCATTACTCTGCAAAAATCTTTGAACCATGACCAAATTTGAACTTGGCCTGGGCATTCCAAGAACATATCCATATGTCAAATTTGAGTTGAATGTGTTGTACCATTGGGGAGATAATAAACGGAAACTGAAAATTTCATATTACTTTCAAAGTGAAAGGGGCATAACTCTGCCAAAAATCTTTGAACCATGACCAAATTTGAACTTGACCTGCGCATTCCTGTTACGCATCCATATGTTAAGTTTGAGTGGAATGTGTTGTACCTTTGGGGAGATAATGAATGGAAACTGAAAATTTCATATTATTTTAAAAGTAAAAGGGGCATAACTCTGCCAAAAATCATTGAACCATGACCAAATTCGAACTTGACCTGTATTTTCTCATGACATATCCATATGTCAAATTTGAGTTGAATGTGTGCAACCTTTCTTAAGATAATGAACGGAAACTGATGATGACAGAATGACAGAAGGACTGAATGATGGAACTGGGTAACACTATATGCCCCGGCCATTACATGGCGGGGGCATAATAAAAGTATAAGATAAACAAAATAATTACATGGCCCAGTTCCTGGCTGCTGCTTCACCAATACTGTCATATGAACCTATAGTATTGACAGACTTGTACAATATTCCAACCTTGTTCAAGAATAAATCTATCTCATTCTGGTAATTTCTTCACTGAAAATAAAAATACAAAATGAGAAAAAAGTAATGTAACTCAATATGTTTACATTATCCTGTAGATAGGACACCTTGTTTTAGAGTATATACATGTACTAACTGACTGTACATAAAATAAGTCTTAAAATTAGTATTTAGACTTGTTAAAGAGACATCAAGATATCTTTTGAATGTGTGATGTCTTTTTCGCAAACAACTGTTTGGCAGTAGGAAAACAAGTTAGTTAAAACAGGTCAAAACTTTCATGCTTAATTAATTAGGCTTACATATTATATACAAACTAGAAATTTGTCCATAGGACACGAGTGCCCCCACACTCAACAGATTTGTCAACCTTATGTCTCTAGGTCAAATTTTTTTTTGGCTACATGTGCCCAAACTGAAAAATCTTAAATTAAGTAAAGGGCAAACACTACTTATACTGAATAAATCCACAAGAAAACCCCAAGGTGCATAAGTACCCATGCTGACCAACATTCTTGTAAACTTTCAGGCCTACAGGTCATAAACTTTTTGAGTTATGTGCAACACAAGTTAAATATTGTAAATTTTTACTAAGTCAAGGGCAATAACTAGAGCTGTCATCGATAGAAGCGATATCGATGTATCATTGATATTTTTTTGTCGATCGATTATCAATCATTTAGAAAATCGATACTTTCACTAATTACTAAAAGTCTAGAAATTACTAAAATATATAGCCCATACAGAACATTAAAATAGTTTGTTTAAAGTACCTGTGGAAAAGACGAAAATTAACTCAAAACATAAACGGAAACAGGTGCCCTGTCAAAAGGACATGTCTAAAACTATACCGTGACTACTAAATGGACAGCTACTGTATGGTAGCTGTATTTTCACCTCAGAAAAACATATTTCTCTGTGTTGAAAATTATATATACAAAACAATCCAATTCTAAAAAATAATTTGAAAATAAAAATCCAATAGATCTAAATCAATTATCATTATACTTAAACTGTCTTGATTTGAGATTCATCATTCACAATTGTCTATATTTTAGACTATGCCCATATCTAAGCAACACTTTAAAATGGCTGAAAACATTAAAATTGTTGGGACAAAAAGAAGGCTAAAATTTAAAAGCCAATTCCTATTTGGGAACATTTTGGGTTTGTTGATGAAAAGGGGGTTGTTAACTCAAAATTAGATTCAATGTATGGCTGCCATTTAGCGGCAATACATTTAACTTGAGATCACATCTTGATCGTATACAATGAATGGGGCAAGGTTAAACATCAGTCAAGTGCCAGCACAGATTGTAACTAGAAATGTGTCCATTGGACATGGATGCCCCCACACGCCACTGTTCTGTCAATCTTATGACTCTAGGTCAAATATTTTTTGGACTACATGTGCCACAAGTTGAAAACTAAAAATCAACAAAGGGCCATAATTCTGTTAAATTAGGTTAAGCAGCAAAAATTCCTTCCTTTACCACCATCTACACATTAAGGTTGTTAATCCCTGGAAGTTTAAGCAAAATCTGCCATCCGGTTTAAGAGGAGTTGCGTTCACAAAATTTCTATATAGTATATAATGAAAAAATCAACAAAGGGCCATAATTCTGTTAAATTAGGTTGCAGCAAAAATTCCTTCCTTTACTACCATCTACACATTAAGGTTGTTCATCCTGGAAGTTTAAGCAAAATCTGCCATCCGGTTTTAGAGGAGTTGCATTCGCAAAATTTCTACATAATATATAGTGAAAAAATAGACAAAGGGCCATAATTGTGTAAAATTTGGTGGCAGCAAAAATTACTTCCTTTACTATCATCTACACATTAAGGTTGTTCATCCTTGAAAGTTTATACAAAATCTGCCATCTGGTTTAAAAGAGGAGTTGCGTTCACAAAATTTCTACATAGTATATAGTGAAAAAATCAACAAAGGGCCATAATTCTGTTAAATTTGGTCACAGCAAAAATTCCTTCCTTTACTACCATCTACACATTAAGGTTGTTCATCCCTGTAAGTTTAAGCAAAATCTGCCATCCGGTTTAAGAGGAGTTGCGTTCACAAGATTTCCGGACGTTTTTTGTTTGTTTGTTTGTTTTGGGTTTTACGTCACATCAACACAGTATAGGTCATATCGCGACGTTCCAGCTTTACTGGTGGAGGAAGACCTCAGGTGCCCTTCCGTGCATTATTTCAGGCACGAACGGGCACCTGAGTAGAACCACCGACGTTCCGTAAGCTAGCTGGATAGCTTCCTCACATGAAAGAATCCAAAAACAATATAATCAATAGGCTACTACTTAACAATAAAATAATTTTTAAAATTCCTAACATTTACAAAATAAATAAATAAATATGTATATAAATAAAATAAGCATAACAATAGTTATTCTGTATGAACAGTAAAATTACAAAAATGTCATAATAAGACAATAAAATTGTATTTCAATATGATAAATTCCTAATGAATTATAGTTATTTCCAGAAATGTATATTTTCAAAATCAAATTCCGTGGCATCCTTAATATTATCAACTGAGTTTTTGTATCCACTGTGTTCAAGTGTCAATACTTTATGACTACAGTCACTATTATTTAAACCTACATACAAAACTCATGCACAAATTTGTATTTTTTTATGTAACATTTATGTTTTTCTACTCTAGTCATGTTAACTAGTCATTCTAGTTAATATACATTTTAGTTTGAACTCTGTATATAGTCAAGTGAGATAGTGATTCCATATTGTTACTTTAGTCATTGAAGTGTTCTGCTTAGTGTGATGGTGTATAGATATGGATAGAGGCCAGTAAATGAATAACCTCAGTTTTATTTATTTGATAATTTACATATTTCATAGCACTACAAATATATGCAAAATATGATCAGAGGACATTTATGAACAAAACACATCATAAGTTCATGTAAAGAAGGTGTTTTTTTTTACTAAAATCATTCATACAAAATTTAATATGAATGTGAAATACAGGTAAATATATCGATATATAGGTGTATCGTCGATGTTTGCAATCCGATATCGATATATCGACGATATGCCTTTGAATGAATCAATGACAGCTCTAGCAATAACTCATACCCAGGTGCACAACTACACATGCTAAGCAACATTCTTGTAAGGTTTCATGACTGTAAGTCAACTATTTTTTTGAGTTACGTGTGACACAAGTTGCAAAGTTTTACTTAGTCAAGGGCAATAACTCTACAATACTAAAAATATCCCCACATAAATACCCAGGTGCACAACTACACATGCTGAACAACATTCTAGTAAGGTTTCACGACTGTAGGTCAACTTTTTTTTTGAGTTACTTGCGACACAAGTTGAAAATTGAAAATTTTTATTAAGTCAAGGGCAATAACTCTAAAATACTAAAAAATATCCACACAAAAATACCCAGGTGCACAACTACACATGCTGAACAACATTCATGTAAGGTTTCATGACTGTATGTGAACTATTTTTTTGAGTTACTTGCGACACAAGTTGAAAATTGAAAATTTTTACTAAGTCAAGGGCAATAACTCTACAAATACTAGAAATATCCACATGCAAATACCCAGGTGCACAACTACACATGCTAAGCAACATTCTTGTACGGTTTCATGACTCTAAGTCAAATATTTTTTTAGTAATGTGCGACACTAGTTGAAAATTGGAAATTTTTATTAAGTCAAGGGCAATAAATCTAAAAATACTATATATATATCCACATGGAAATACGCAGGTGCACAACTTCACATGCTGATCAACATTTCTGTAAGGTTTCATGACTCTAGGTCAATTACTTTTTGAGCTAAGTGCCACACAAAAAGGGAACAGACGGACGGAAAGAGGGACGAAAGGATGGACGGACAGACGGACAAGGGTAAATGTAAATGCCCCACCCCTATAGTGGGGGCACAATAAACCAGGGCTTCAATGTAAAGATATCAAAAATAACTTAAAAAAACTTTTTTATATTAGATGGTTAATGCACCAATACCTTAAAACGTAATGATCAAGGTTGAAGTTTGCAGACTGGAATGCCACCATGACTGTAACAATACCTCTATTTTTTTTTTCTTTTGAAAAAAAGTTGAGCTAAAAATGGAATTAATAAGAAATACAAGTTTATCTAGTATAAGAGATGCTCACTCACTGATGAATGAATAAAGAAATCAATTTTCTGTTTAGGATAATCTAATGCTGCAATCTTCTGTAAGGCTTCTCTAAGAAATGGTGTTGGATGCTCCACAAACACTCCCAATACAATAGATGGATAATCCTCTTCCTTTAAATAAATAGTCACAAAATATTATATTTAAAAGTTACATTTTTTTATATAATTATATACTGTACATGTACATATCACTCTAATGACTTTTTTTCTTTTTATCACTCTGGTTGCATTTATTCTATATATCACTTTAATTACATTTTTCTTTTTATCACTCTGGTTACAATTTTTCTAAAAATACATTTTTCTTTCTTTTGATATTTCTATTTATAGCTATAGAGGCCCCTAAAATGGGCCAATCAAATTCATATGAGCACACTTGATAAAAGACTACTTAAGAATGCCACAGACAAAGTTTGGTGATCATCCATCAATTAGTTCTGTACAAAAAGATGTCTAAAGGTTTTTTTCTTTTTTAGCCCTAGCGACCCCTAAAAGGGGCCAATCAAATTAATATGAGCAAACTTGATAAAAGCCTATCCAAAAATGCTACAGACAAAGTTTGGTGATCATTCATCTTTTTGTTCTGTAGAAAAAGATGTCTAAAGGTTTTTTTTCTTTTTTAGCCCTAGCGACCCCTAAAAGGGGCCAATCAAATTAATATGTGCAAACTTGATAAAATCCTACCAAGGAATGCTACAGCCAAAGTTTGGTGATCATCCATCTTTTAGTTCTGTAGTAGATGATGTTTAAAAGTTTTTCTATTTTTAGCTCTGTTGACCCCTAAAAGGGGCCAATTGAAATGACATGAGCAAATTTAAGTGTGACTGTCACATAGATGCTACAGACCAAATTTTAGGTAAATCTGCCCAGCAGTTTCAGAGCAGAAGACGATTGTTGACGCATGACGCCGGAGTAAATTCCCCATTTGATACTAATAGCTCACCTCGAGCCTTCTGTAGCAGTGATTATTATAGCTGGACTTTTTGTTTTAAAACAGACAATGTAACTCAATATTATATATTATTTAATTTTACCCATGAAATATATTGCTATATCAGTCAATATATATTTCATATTTTTTTTTAAATAAATATGAAATAAAAAATATGAAAGTGGGCGGAGTCAAATTTCATATTTATTTTTTAGGGACTCACAGTAACTTTCTTATGTTTCTCCCAGCTTCACATCTGACATTCAGTATTTCAGTTATTTACTTCATTATCAATAACTTATAATAAAATCTCTATATTGAAAAATAATAATTATAAATAAATAAAATAATTTAAATAAATAATAATAAAAAAAAAAAATAAATAACAAGAGGGTCATGATGGTCCTATATCACTCACCTTAAGGAATAAATCTTATAAGTATTTTTCTTTTTAAAAACAAGCAAAAGGTTTATAAAATTCTTTAATGTCATTTAAAGTTCAGTGTCAAATGTAATGTATTTTTGGCCGACAGCAACAGGAATGCTAACAAGTGTATAGAAATACCTCTTTTTTTCTTTTCTTTAAAGTACAGGTTGCTAAAAAAATACACCCCCTGTAGCGTGTTTACATCATGAAAATTTTAAAAATGAGATCATAATTAACAAGACGAAGTACAAATTTGGATAATACTTCAATAACAAGAGCGATCAGTGATCACATGTGTCGCCTCATGATGGCCAATTTCATGTTGGGACAAGTTTTGTGACAGACAGACGGACAGTGCACAACTAGACTTGGTACGGATCATTCCTGTAAGTTTGGATAAAATTGCACCAGTAGTTTATGAGGAGTAGTCCGGACAAGCTTTTGTGTATCTGGCAACACACAGAAAAAAAACAGATTTTTATCAAAGGGCCATAACTCGGCCAAAAATCATTCAACTGGAAAACCCGTGCAATATGCACACAGACTTGAGCTACAGATCAATCCTGTAAAGTTTCATTGAAATTGAATTAGTGGTATAAGAGAAGTAGTCAGGACAAACTTTAAAAATAAAATTTATCAAAGGGCCATAACTAATCATTGAACCGGATAATACTGACAATATGCACAACTAGACTTGGTACTGATCATTTCTGTAAAGTTTGGATGAAATTGCACCAGTTGTTACATGTGTTATGAGGAGTAGTCCGGACAAGTTTTGTGACGGACGGACAGATGGACAGACAGACAGACAGACAAGTGATCCCTATATGTTGTCACTACTCCATAGAGGAGACACAAAAATGGCCGGGTTGCATTTGTATACCAAATAACATGACTCATGAGGCTGTGATGTTACAAAAATTTTGTTAACCTGGTATGGACAGACGACGGATGGTTCAATTACTATTATGCCCTAAGGCATAAAAAAACAACAACAACAACAAACAGCAGGGATCTCAGGAAGGTCAGAATTTCACGTGGCAGACTGTTTGACCAAAATTTTCATTTGTCAATTCAGTTTTTTCTTCTCTTATTTTTCTACATGAACCATTTTCATGTTTCAAAAATGAATTCAAAAATTTCTGTTGAGAAGATTTTCAAGTTTAAATTGATTATATTGCTAGGTTAGGTTATTTTAAAATTACATAATTTTCTTGCTTAGTTAACAATATGATAAAGATAATTAAGTATTACCACAGTATTTAAACGATTTGAACCCCAACCGGATCTTGTGAGAAGATGTCAGTGTCAGCCATTTTCTGACGCTTGACTTATTTAATATATTGGTATTTATATTGATGCTTATGGACGTTAGGTTAGTAAATCTTTATTTATATCGTAGAATAGAAACTTTATTAAACGTTTAAGTTATGCAAAATATAAATGTTAGCATTAAAGCTAAAAAATAATCGAAACTCACAAACTGCCTTCAGGTGATCAACACTGAACACGAACAAAAATCCGTCTTATTTAAAGGTTTATTTAGTTAAACATTGATTTGTGATATCGACCAACTAAAATAATCAATAACAAATGATAATTTAGTCATCTCCAAACAATATTGCTGTATTTTGAATATTAAAATAAGAGTTTAACCAAGGAGGTCAATTCCGTAAACTGAACGTTACTTCCTGGTGATTGTGAACCCTACTTGTGAGTTTACGAATTTTATCTGTACCCTGACTTGTTAGTATTTTTAAAGATTTAAAGGAGAAAACGTTTATCATTTAACGTATTTATTTGTTTATTGACAGGCAAAATGGAAGAATTCAGTTGTCTTCATTGCCACCTTTCTCTTCAAAAAAAAATTCGGAAACACTTTTGTTCACAATTTTGAAATATAAAGAACAAAAGCTTAAAGTAACAATTTCTCAGTTTGACAACAATAACAGAAACATTAAAATCATAATCCAAAGACTTTAGAGTTATTCCAAAAGAACTGAAAAAAAGGACTTTAAAATCAAATTATATTACAAAAACAGTAAAAGTTTCAAGACAAGAAGGACTTGAAGAATAATCTCCAATCAAGAAATGTCAAAAAATCAAAATGCCTGTTAAAGATTTTCACACATCGACAAAAGATACGTTTATAGTAAAGATGACAAAGTTTAAGTTTAAACAATTAACTTGGTGTCAACTTATTCCACAGCTCCTACATTTAAGTTGTGTTTTCAGGGGGATGTTTGTAACACGAAAGCTACTGTCAAGTCTCTCAACTACAAATGATTCATCCAAATCCACCTGAAATACATGTATATGGCAATTTATAGATAGGAACTGGACTTATATATATCTCTTGACTTAAGATCACTTATGATTAGCCAATGATAAACTTTTCAAGTTGTGTGAAAAGAAAACTAACAGGTTGTCTTAGACACTGGCAAGGCTGTAAACTATCTAAAAATACATGTATGTAAGTTGAAATAAACTTGCAAGAGTGAAAACTACCTTTTAGACATTTAACAATATGCAGAAAACTCCTTAAAATTATTTATTAAGAGTGATCCTGGTCGCGCATGTGAAAAAAATAGAAATTCAAGGCATTTATGAGAATATAAAACCGTGTTTCAAACAGCATAATGAAAATCAACGGTAGGTGTAAAGCTTTCAACATGATGAAATAAGTAATCTGCCAAAAAATCCTGTGATGATCTTTCGAGGTGTGACGTTATTATAATGGTCACGTCAAAACGAACAACAATGCCGTTGAACTTTATAGTAGAAATGTTTATATTTTAATTATGTTATATCTTAGCTTTATATCTTTTCAAAGAAAAATGAAAGGTAAATGAATATAAGATTTGTTAGTTGATAATTCCTGTCAAGAAATAATTTTCTTTCTAATTCGTATTACCAGCTTCTTCATGCTGGTATTTCCATGGAAAGTGAAAACATGAAGAAGGTCCATTCATGTGCAGTATTAGTTACTTATATAGAACTTAAAGATGTGTCATGGTCTTGTGACACAATAACTTAATATTCTGCTAGATATAATTTGGAACATAAGACAAAAACAACAAGCAAGTATCATAGTATTGCAAGCAATCCATAAGTCCCCTACCGGTAAGAGCCAAAGCAACATTCTGAAGGGCCATTCACTTATGTTTCTATTTTAAGTAAATTTGTTGAAAAAGTTCTTTAAAAGTGATCACAGTGAACAGTTTTTATGTACAGACAGACAGACAGACGGACTGAAGGACACTCTAAAGTTATTTTTTAAACATCCCTGTTATCAAAATATAACATTTTTAAAAGCAAAATTTAAAAAAAGGAGATAACAATGTCATACATGATGTGAGTGTAACAAAGAACAATTAGTAATGAAGGTATGAATATTTAATGTTTATTTTGAATTTGAAATAAATGAAAGTTAAAAGAACGAATAGGAAAAATTAAAAGTTTAAGGAAGAGATAATTCTGGAAATATGGATGCTAGATTTATAAACCTTGTTATATTATTATGATGTGGGAGTTTGAAGAAAATCCTATCATGATTGAAGAAGTTGGAATAAAAATTACTAATTTCTCAAAAAAAGTCTAAGTTCAAAAGGGGCATAATTCTGGAAATAGTCTTGCTAGAGTATTGAACACTCACAAATGTTGAGTGATAAAAGCAAACATTTATATGAAGTAGATAAGTTCAGAAAAAAAGAAGTTATTAAAAAAAAACAATGTTTTTTTCATGAAAATTTT